CACACACACACACACACACACACACACACACAAAAGAAGCACTGGTCCAGGTAAAGCCCTTGGCTGTGAGGGGACACAAGGGCACACATTCTGGTCTTCACGCCGCCATGCAGGTGGCCTCCACATCCACACAGGTGGGCCTCCTCAGGTCAGGCCTTGTGGGAAGCTCTGGCTGCCTCCCAGGGAGTCCCACCTGCCTGGCAGAAGGCAACAGGAGCTCAGAAACAGCAGCCCTGAAGCCTGGTCTTGGCTTGGGACTAAGAGCAGGGCCTGGCTGGAACTCCTACCCCATTAGCAACAGGCCCGTAGCTTCCTAGGTCCTCACCATTGGTGGCCTGCTCACCAGACCCTTGTCCCAAGTTCTGTTCAAACAAACCCCCTTGTTGTTTAAGTCTCCCCAGCGTGATCTTACTCAACCCAGTGATCCCGCTTACAGTAGAATCATGACACTGGGACTGGCCAGAGCCAAATACTGGAACCAAGGTTCCACTCTCTGAGCAAAGACTCTAATGAGGGCCTCAGAAGAGAGTTGAGTCACAACCCAAGCCCCTTCCTGCCTCTTTTCCCTGACTGACAAACTGAAGGATAAGGAGACACGGAACATATTGTCACTCTTCCTCCTCCCCCCACTTCTCTGGTGCCAAGGTTGAGCAAAGGTGTCACTGGGGAGGGGCAGGCAGCTGAGGATGGGTAGCGACACCTCCTTTCAGGCACTCCTGATGTGGGCAGTGAGGTCTGCCCAGCTCCTGAGCTGGGAGCTGAGCACAGGAAGAGGACCTTGCAGCTAATCAGATTAATTAAAAACCATACCTGTTTATATTTTGTGTAGCTCATCACTGCTCCACCATATCACCCCCTTGTTATTAATTCTTGGGGGCTAAATTATGGGTAACACTATTAAAACATTATCAGAACTAATGAGAAACAATTACTTAGAAAATGAGCCAGGACAAGATTGAGTCGAGAACATCGGTGGTGATCGCCACAGATTAGTTTAATAAATCATCAGGTGCCAGGCAGGACTGACTGCGTGTATGCAAAGCCCGTCACGGGAAAAGGAAATTGAGATTTTTTTTGCATAATTTTTTCATTAATCTCAATAGGACCCGTGTGGTGTAGATTGCTTTATTCCCCTAATACCTTGCCGGAGGGGGGGTGCCCAATAATGTCTTCATTGTTTTACTGAGGTCTTAATGACAATCTGTGACAACCTCATTTTAATGTATAGAGGATTATATCGATACAGTCATGTTTTATTGAAGTGGTCAGGGGAACTCCAATTGGAGCGAGGCACTTCTGTGAGCACAAGTTAGTAAGTTCTGGGGACCTGAGTGCCTTCCCTTCTGATGTCCAAGTTTTGAACTGGGGCAGCCGGGGCGGCTGCCTTGCCGCCTCTCCTCCAGGGACTGCTGGGGAAGCCGTTTCCTGCAGAATGAAGACTTCACAGCCTCCAATTTGAATTTGAAAGTCACTGGTTGCCTGGCATATTTTGCTGGATAATTAGAACAAACCATGTGGTTGTGTTCCCTCTAAAATAGAAGTGTATTATTGTTCACACCTTTACACCCAATAGTTTTGTGGAAGTTTGAGTAACTGGCTTTCTTCCTTGATAACGCGAATTTTCTAACGATGCCCTATAAGGAGAAGAAAGGATACAGGCTTCTTCATTTGAAGGAGACTCTGCTTTTAGGATTTCAGTTTGCCGTGCAACATGAATCCTCCGTTTTAATTTTTATTTCATTTCCCCCCTCTAGTAATAGGAAAGCAGTTGTTGGTACAAAGCCCATTATAAATTTCCAACAGGACTTTGTGCAGAGTGATGCTGGCGAGAGTCACCGGATGGGTCTGTAACGGCAGAGCATGTGCCTCAGGCTTGGGGACACGGACCTCCCAGTGCAGAGCCCCCGCCCCCCACCACGTCTTCGCATTGCCATTAAGAGGGAAAGTAATTACCTGACCCCAACATTTAAATGTTAAATCTTTAGTCTTAGTCTTGCCTTCTGCTCTCTGTTTTACACTGGGGTCGGGGGAGGGGATAACTAGGAGAGCGACCAAAATAGAAAGTCAATCACTTTCGTAACTTGGTACCTGCAAGCTAGCGCAGTGGGACCCGGCAGCTTTAAGCTGTTTTGAGTCGGTGATTTTTGTCGTTGTTGTTGGTTTGTTTAAATTCCAGTAATAATTTGGCAGCACACTTCCTTCCAAATCAATAAGGATTGCCAACGACACAAAGTGATCTGTAGGGAGGAACCGAGATCCTCCCTGGCGCCTTTGTGGAGCCTGTTTGCTGCGATCAAACCGTTCATCCCGCAGAACATTTAGTTTGAAAGTCTTTCAGGACTTTGTGACTGTGTCCTTCCTTTTTAGATTTTTTCCCTTTTCTTTCTTTTCTTTTTTTTTTTTCCCCCCATTTAAAATGATCAACTGGGTTTTACTTTCGCTCCTTCCGACGGGAAGGGCACCGCGAGCCTGGGACCCGCGCGCCGCGTGGGAAGGAGGTGCGCTGCTGCGTCCGCGGCGCGCAGTGCGCGGGTCGCGGCCCCATCCGCGAGCCGCCTGCGCGTCCTGGAGGCCTGCGGTCATCGGCTGGGGCGGCCCTCGGGGTGGGCTGCGGGGACCCGTGGAAGCCAGTGGAGCCTCCCCCAGGGAGGCTGCGGTCCCTTGCCGGCCGGCGAGATGCTCGCGTGGAGCTGCGCTCCGGACTCGCGGCCCATGGGGCGTCCGGCCCTGCAGGGCCACAGTGGGGAGCCCGGCGGCCCAGCGGCCAGGACTTCGGCCCCGCTCACTCACCCGCCCGCCCGCCGCGGGCCGCCCGGAGCCTGCGAGCTTGTCGCGCAGCCCCGCTGTAATGGTGGCAGATCAAAGGCTGCCCCGTGTCCCCGCGGAGCCAGGGACAATCCCGCGCCTTTGTGCGCTGTTGCTAGGAGCCGGAGAAACTAAGAGAAAGTGTCAGGAGCATGTTAATCAGACTCGTTACAGTGTAACAATAACGTCTCTCTCGGGTCTCCCAGGCCCCGCGCACCCCAGCGCACCCCGCTCACAGGCCGGACACCTGCGTGGGGCCCTCGCGCCCGCCCTGAGCACCGACCGCCCCTGTGTCCCTCCAGCCCCGAAGACGACCCTGCACCAAGCGCAAGGACGAGGTCCGAGAGACCGTGCAAGTGCCAGGAACATGTCCCGGTGGTGGTCCCGGTGATCTGAGACAGGCGCGGTTAACCTGGACTGCTGGAAGCTGGCTAGGTGGCCCGAGGGAGGTGCGGGAGGGTAGGTAGAGTCCCATGGCTTCGCTTCTCACTCGCGGAACTGGATTGCTCACGTTACTCAGATACGATGTTTGAATCAAGAGAAAAAGGAGCCTTGCATTTCAGAGAACTTTTTGCTTAAGCGTTTCCCCGCCTATGTCTATTTGTCTTGCACATCCATGGAAGATACCATCAATGACCATCCCCAGTTTAAGAAAGAAAAAAGAAAAACTTTGTCAAGATCTGTCAGAGAGTCAAGATTTCTCTAAACTTTTCCCAAGGAATCACTTCATTGGCCCTTTTAGTCATTCCACAAACACCTGTCGAGTAGACTAGGTATCACACAGTTCCCTGAATATCGTAGGATTTGCCCCAGATGAACTTTTCTTTTAAAATTAAAATGGCTTTGCTGGCCATGTGCCTGGAGCTTGGAGCAGTACTGTAATCTCAGCTACTCAGGAGGCTGAGGCAGGAGGATCACAAGTTTGAGGCCAACCTGGACAATTTAGCAAGAACCTGTCTCAAAATGGGGGAGGGGAAGGATGGACTGAGATGTAGCTCAGGGGTAAAGGGCCCTTGGGTTCAATCCTCATGCCATAAATAAATAAATGCCTTTGTGGAAGTGAAGGGAGGAGCAAGGCTGTAAAATAAAATCCAGTGTTAAAACAAAAATGCCATGGGCTACAATCGTGGCAATAACAATAGGTGTGAATTAAGAATTTTAAATGTTTGGAAAACTGTAAGTCATATGCTTTGCAATCGGTCTGGTTTTCTCCTCTTTCTTCTCCTTGTCCCCTCCCTCTTCACCAGCCTGAGGTCTGACAGCATCTCAGAGTTACTGCAGGAACCCACTCAGTCTTGGCCCTTCCCCCTCTTCCCCTGCTGAACCATTCAACAGGAATTAGAAAGTGTGCTCAGGATCAGGGCAGAGGTGATTTTCTCCTACATGACCTCTGTTCACGCAGTAGGGATGTTACTAAGGAGCCAGACTTCCAGAGTAGATCTGCTGTACCCTAAGTCAAAGATAAAGCTTGCAGTTCCTAGAAGGGGTAGAACCCACCTCTTAGATCACCTGTGCTTACCTGCTGACCCAGGAAGGCCCCTCTAACTGTAGAAGGCTTCTCCATTGATCACCATCGATTCTCATGCACTGCTGTGTGCAAAGTGTAATCATACAGAAAACTGGACATATTCCCAGAGGCTAGAGTCCTGGGCCTGGAAAGAACTTTAGAGATTCCTTTCGTTACATAAATAAGAGAGCTAATCGACTGAAAACTCCATCTTATGAAAGGCAAGGGGGAACCAAACAATGGCTGTGTCACAATAGCTAAAATATCTGCCACGAGGGGGAACTCAGGAAAAAGAAGATAGATTTTTTTTTTCTTGGTCTACATAATGCCAAATAGCTGGCTTGGCTGTTTGATTTTGTTTTATCTTTAGACAATGAATCAAATTGCCTTAGTTATTCAGACACACTAATAGAATCAAGAGAAAAAGGAACATTCAGTTTCAGATAGCTTTGTGTGGATGGTTTCTTCAGAGGGAGGCACACTCTAGGCATCTGGCTTAATATCTAAACAGGAGGAAGGCAGGAGGAATCTTCTGAGTTCCAGGAAGGGAAGAACACAAAAACCAACATGAATTTCTGGCTTAGATTTTCTGGGAGAACTATGCTAATAATCTTGACTACCGGATGAGGACAGGCGCACATCCATTTTTCACACTGGGCTTTCAGGAGCTGTGATTCCTGCAGTAGCTTCCATGGAATCTCTGTGAGGCTTCTCCCAGGCTGGCCTGCAGGAGCTCCAGCACTGTGACAGCATTGGCAATCTCAAAGGGTGTCACCATGTAGCTGGGCTGCGTTGTCTGCTGCTATAACCACACAGATATTTTGCAAAGCCCTTGCACAAGCTGCAAGCCTGTGGGCAGACAGTGTCACACCCTGAGACTCCTAACTAGTAAGACACACTGTGTTCGGTGAGGTTTCCCCAGAACCCCAGAGACAGCTTGCTGGGCTTTCCTCAGTCCTCCCAAGCCCAGGGCTGAATGTCTGTTGTAGTACTTGTTTAGATATGTGTGCCGCCCCAGACAGTGCAGATTTCCTGAATATTGGACATTGTCATGGATTCTGATCCCTCTCCTTTTCTCACTTCTCACCCACAACACAGATTGCTGAAAGTGTGTCCATTAAAGTCAGGAACTCTTTCCCCAGCACACTTGATCCTGACTCTCCAACTAACAGGTTATGTTACATTTGGACAAGCCATTTATTCTCTCTGGTCATTAATTTCTTCAACTATACAAATAATAATCCCTAGGGCTGGGGATGTGGCTCAAGCGGTAGCGCGCTTGCCTGGCATGCGTGCGGCCCGGGGTTCGATCCTCAGCACCACATATAAACAAAGTGTCTGCCGAGAACTAAAAAATAAATATTAAAAAAAAAAAAATTCTCTCTCTATCTCTCTCTCCCTCCTCTCTCTTTAAAAAAACAAACAAACAAACAAACAAATAATAATCCCTAATTCCAAGAGTTATCATGAAGATGTGGTACTCCTGGAGATGGTACCACCCAGATGGCCCTCCAAGGATCCCCACTTGCCCGGCTGGGGAGATGGAGGAGGCAGGCAGCAGAGAGTCCACAGCTCCTACAGCATCTGTCTCAGCTGTCTTGCCTGAGGCAAACCCCTTCCCTGGATGGCCTGCATCAGGGATGAACAGGAATGATGAGGTAGGGACGTAGAGACCCAGCTGTTTGGTCCAGATGTGGGACACGCTAACAAATTGTGTATGTTCCAGAGCTCCCAGTAAGGTTGACCAAGACTGTTGGGTCTGTTCCTTCACCCCAATCCCGATTCCTTCTCCTTCCTTTCCTGGGCATTGATCTTTAATATCTTTCACCCTAATGTCTATACATCTGCTCCTGTAAAGCCTATACTATAAAGTAATTAAATGAACTATTGTATTTTAAGGCACTTCATTACAGTGGCACACACCTGTAATTTCAGCTACTTAGGAAGTTGAGGCAGGAGGATTACAAGTTCAAGGCTAGCCTGGGGCAAATGATCAAGACCCTGTTTCAAATTAAATATTAAAAAAGAGTTAGGGGTATAGCTCAGTGACACAGCCCTTGCCTATATCCATGTTGGCTATATCAATCCCCAACACCTCAAAAAAAAAAGTTAAAATGGTAAATTTTATGTGTATTTTACCACAATTTTTAAAAGAAGAATGAATGTGAACTAAAGATAAAATGAAACTAATAAATAATTATAGTATTTTTTAAAAGCACCTAGCATCCTTCTTGGCACATAATAGGCACTCTACACAGAGGCCAGATTACTTCCATACAGATCCTGACCTCACAATGCAGCAGAGGATGGGAATCCCACAGCAGCAAAGCTGCCCAAAAGAGCATTTCTATGAAGTGAACTCCCTGTCCTCATTTAAGCGAAAGGTCTGTTCTTCAGAAAAACATGTTGGTGGGGTGAATTCTCTTCTCGTATGCCCTGGATACAGACACACTCGGCAGCCACAAGCATTCCAGAAGAGTTTTGTGACTCTGTTGTTGGTGTGAAGAATCTCCTGGGGGTGGGGAGGGGCTGGGTTGTGGCTCAGTGATAAAGTACTCACCTAGCATGTTCGAGGCACTGGGTTCGATCCTCACACCACATAAAAATAAATAAATAAATATAAAGGTATTGTATACAACTACATATATATAAAGATAGATAGATATAGATAGATAGATAGTTTGGTTTATAGTTTAGAAATCTAGCTTTCTAATTATCTGAGCTACCTGCAGGACATTGGGCAATCCTTCATTTACTGTGAACTTGGCACGAGGTATTTATTTACTGGAGAGACCCTGAGTGCAGATGACAGTAATATATATATTATATATTTATATATATAAAATCTCCTGGCCCTGGCTAGTCATGCAGCTCTGTGGCAAACACTTGCCTTCCATGTTTGAAGCCCTAGATTTAATCCCCAACATCTCACACACACACCCCACAAAGAAATCTAGCCTCATCGCTGGACTATGGAAATGTCTCTGTGCTGCAGATGTTTTGACTATAAACTCCTTTATAAAGTCCTTGATTTTGTAGACAACAAAGCCCAGGGGGGATTATGCAGTACCAACTCCTAGCTGGAGGGGGCACTGTGCACACAGAAAAATATCCGGCTAGGGCACTCTGGGAGTTGTGCAACTACTGACCATTAGGGGACTTGCCCAAGGTCATGCTGCTAACCAAACCAAGTCTACAACTCAGGTTTCCAGATTTCCTCCATTAAGCCACACTCATCCCAGGACTCCTCAGATTCATGGTGCCACAGTAATATCCCCACTTTGATTCTGTGGAGAGAGGAAGCTCCGAGTGAGCTTTAAGAAAGAATGAGGCAAACAGTGGCGCCTCCTTCAGCACTGCCTCCCTCAGGGACAGGGTCTGTGCCCAGCAGAGAAAGCTGAGCTTTCATTCCCAGGTGAATACAGACCCTAGCAAATTTTGCAGGGTTTTCCACAGGGGCTGGTTGGAATGACTGGAGAATGTCTTGGGTTGGCTAAGAAAGAAGCCCCAGGAGAGGGATAAAGAGGCAGGACACAGACGGTCGTCAAGGACAGTAGAAAGGCCACAGCAGCCTCTTGTCTTGCCCGCCCGGCTCTCAGGGCCATCTGTGCTCTGCTCTCAGGCTGCTTCCTCTTCCTTTAACCCTCAATTTTACCTTCTCTTCCCTCCCCCTTCCCAATTTCAGAAGCAAAAATAACCAATGGAGGAAAGAAAACAACAAAATTAGGGGGGAAAAATCCCCTAAGTCTGTGCCCATGTTTTGGAGGGAAATCTAGCTTTCTAATCATGGAGCTGGCTGCAGGACATTGGGCAATCCTTCATTTACTGTGAACTTGGCACGGGGTGTTTATTATGCCCATTTTACTGGAGAGACCCTGAGTGCAGACGACAGCTAATGTTGTACTTTGGGAATCAAAGTAGAAATGTCAATGAGGCTGCTAATTATTTAGTAAATTAAATATTGCTGCCAGCGTGCTCTTCTAATGCCCTACATCTGATCATGCTGTCTTAATGCAAAGCCAACATTCAGATTCTATTTAGGCAATCAACAAGATGGCAAATTCGTTATTGGTTCTTTACGTTTTAGTAGAAGATATTTGAGTGTGCGGCTTGAGACTCTTGTGGGAGTCTGGAGTGATACTTATGAAGGTAAAGTTTAACTTTAGTTTGCATACATAAATTTATAAAATAGCAAATTTATATATTTGTTATCACATTATTTATAACTTACAAAATATAAATTTTATATATTAATGTCATTGCATTATTTATGATATAACACATAAAATTAGATTTCTATTTTTTTCTTATGCCTTTTGGGGCGTGTTACTAGAAATGCAACAACAAATAATTCTAAAAACCATTATTTTCAGACTATGACAAGCATTCCATTTTAGGAGGCGACTCCCAAAAGATTCTTGTTATAACTTTGCCTTATGAAAACCTTGTTTAAAAAGGATGCATCTTTGTATCATCTAGGGAACTTGAAGTTGTGGAATATATTTATGAACATATTTAAAGTAAACATTTTCAAAATAAATAGCAAGCGATTGGTCATGAATTTGCATGCACCGCCTCTGAAAAGCAGCACATTTTGAAGAGGTCTGTTGAAACCCTCCACTGGCCTTTCCCTTCATTCTTAAAAGGCATGTGGGTTCGATTAGCACTCAAAAAAGAGCGTGTTTTCATAGCCTCCGGTACAGCGTTTATAAAAATTGTGATGATTTCAGGGACTGCACCTTCATTTTTTGAATTTTCAAAACTTGTCCCTTTTTACTCTTTTATTTTCTTTCAACAAAACAAAGACCGAAAGACCCCTTTAAGAAATTTTATCCATTCTCACAGAGCCCCAGTTTGTTGACCTTCAGGCCACAGAGTAAAACCTTTCTTTTAAGTCAAGCATTCCCCATTGGGAAGCACTCCAGCTTTTTCTTTTTATGAGGAATTTTAACTGCTGGACTTAATTTAATTATTGTATTTTGTACTTACTCCCAGAAGCCCCAGGGCAGGAGCTTTGCTTTTTTCGAAACTTTCAAATAAATATCTTTAGAAATGCACATTTCTGATGGCAGTGTTATTTCTTTGACTTGTCTTCTGATCCAAATCCCAAACATGGGCCTTTCAATTTCCTGACTTCCACACGGGTGGGTTTCCACCTTCGCACCTCTTTGCCAGGCCAGCCTTGGGGAGGGGAGTGGGCAGGCTGGCAGGCCTTGAGGTCCAGAGAATAGCTGTCTAGGCTTCTTAACGGGAAAAGAAAAACCGTCTCCAACGCGGACCGGCATTTTATACACAAGCTGGGTCTGGGGACACGGAGTTTAATGAGAGAATCTCCCCGTGACTGTCTCTGCAGAGCTTCTATAAGGTGCCCCCCATCCACCGCCCCTCCTGTACCCCAAGGAGGCACATGGCAAACACACCAGGGGGGAGAGTTGTCATCCCCAGCTAAAAGCCATGATTCAATATCTTTATTTCTCATCTATCTTTATGGATACCAATTCCTATCTGAGCCTTTTAATTTCAATCTTTTGAGGTTTTTTTCAATCTGGACTGTCAAAGGTGAAAAATAAATCTGTGTTTTGTAACTGACTTAAAATTCACTTAGGAATATTGAAATGTGGAGCAAATGTAACTTTTCCAGATTCACAAGATCTGCCTAAAATACTTTGTGGGGGTTAAGTCACTTATGAAGTGGATTAAGGACTTCTGTGACCTCTGACTTTAGGAAGAAGAGGATTCTAAACAGAATTATGTGCAAAGTGGAATGGATTTCCTTGTTTACTTTTATTTAAAATTTTAAATTTTAGAAATCACATCACGTTGGAGCCAAAGAAGGGCTTTGGAAAGAGATCATCTGGGGCAATGGGCTGCACCCTGTCTGTGTACTAGAATTGCCTGGTAGAGTGAGGAGGGCACCTGCAGACCCCACTACCGTGCTGGGGAGGCTCAGTTCCTTGAGCCCAGGAATTCGGCACCAGCCTGCACAACAACAACAAAAAGAATGATCTGGTGGGCTTTCCATAGCTGCCAATATCCAGGACCCACCCTAGATTAATTAAACCAGACTGGAGCACCACCCATCATTTCGCAGATTAAAGAGAGAAACAAGCGAAACTCAGAACCTTCAAAGATGGAATGTGGCTTTGCATTAGGAGTAGTGAGTAGCGTGATTGGGAACTCCCAGCTCTACAGAAGCTTAAGAAGCAAACTTCAAAAAGTTTCCATAATGA